GATCCCCGGAAGGTCCTCTCCCAGCGTCCCTGGAGCCCCGGATTGTGATGGGCGAGGAGACGTGTCGGGCGCCCCCACTGCCCAGGGCAACCCTGCCAGAGCTCAGGGACTGCGAGGGTGGGCACGCCAGCCTGAACCACCCCCCGAGTTGTGTTCTCAGGGTGACCCTCCTGTGCCTTTCCCCGCCCCAGACTCTGATTCCTTCTTCACACCTCCTTCCACCCCCACCGAGACAGCCTCTACCCTGCTCCCTGGCCCCGGGCCCCGCAGGGACAGCAGGGACATCCGGGATGCCCAGGCTGAGCTGGGGGACTCGCCGCCAGCCTCACCCTCAGGCTCCTACGTCACGGCGGACGGGGACAGCTGGGCCTCGTCCCCATCCTGTTCCCTGAGCCTGAAGGCCCTGGCTGAAGGGCTGGATGTGCCCTCGGGCTGGGGCTTCTCCCCACCGGGGTCCATGGTGGACGAGAGGGAGCCGCCCCTGCCTGAGCCCCTGGACACATCTTCAGAGTCCAGCCTCTCGGAGGACAGCAGTTCTTCCTGGGGCCAGGAGGGCCACTTTTTTTGAGCTGGACTTCCTGGCCAACGACCCAATGATCCCTGCTTCCCTCCTGCCCTTCCAGGGCAGCCTGATCTTCCAGGTGGAGGCCGTGGAGGTGACGCCGCTGCCCCCTGAGGTGGAGGAGGAGGAGGAGCAGGAGGAGGAGCAGGAGGAGGGCGAGGCGGCCCCCGCCCCCAGAGGGGACCTGGCCGGGGAGGGCGAGGACGACAGCACGTTTGCCTCCTCCCTGCAGTCGCTGTCCGACCTCTCCATCACCGAGGGCATGGATGAGGCCTTCGCCTTCCGGGATGACACCTCGGCTGCCTCCTCGGACCCCGACTCGGCCTCCTACGCAGGGGCTGATGATGAGAGGCTATACAGCGGGGAGCCCCATGCACAGCCCGCCGCCCTGCTCCAAGGCAGCCTTGGTGAGGCCACCACCTGGGGCCTGGAGGCCACTTCTGGGCTGTCCGAGGGGGAAACCAGTCGCGCTGCCAAGAGGCAGGAAACCAACTCCGAAATAACTTGGCTGGGTCCCACTTCAGGCCAGACGTCCACTGCTGCTGTGGCCCCTCACGCCCTGCAGGAAGCCCCAGGTTTCGCTGGGGCGACCGCTCACACCTGGGATGAAGAGGCAGACTCCACGACAGGACCAGCACCTGTTGCCGCGATCACGCCTCAGCACCCGCAGAACGGAGACAGCGCTGCATTAGGCCCAGAGCCCTGGACTTCTAAGGGAGAGGCAGACCTCAGCTCTCTGCAAAACCTGAAGAAAGAAGCAGGCCACGGGTTTGCCACTGCAGCCAGCTCTGAGACTCAGCAGGAAGAAGTGGACCTGACGGCATTCCTGCCCCTGCAAGATGCAGCCCTCCCCTCTGGCCATGGATCTGCCTCCGAGGCCAGTCCTGAACCCCAGTCAGAAGAAATGGACATGACAGCATCCCTGCCCCTGAAGGTTGCAGCCTTCCCGTCGGCCCAGGAATCTGCCCCCGAGGCCAGTCCTGAACCCCAGACAGTAGACGTGGACATGACAGCATCCCTGCCCCCGAAGGATGCAGCCCTCCCCTTGGTCCAGGGGTCTGCCTCCGAGGCCAGTCCTGAACCCCAGCCAGAAGAAGTGGACCTGATGGCATCCTTGCCCCTGCAAGATGCAGCCTTCCCCTCAGTCCTGGGATCTGCCTCTGAGGCCAGTCCTGAACCCCAGCCAGAAGAAGTGGACATGACAACATCCCTGCCCCTGAAGGATGCAGCCTTCCCTTCGGCCCAGGAATCTGCCCCCGAGGCCAGTCCTGAACCCCAGACAGTAGACGTGGACATGACAGCATCCCTGCCCCCAAAGGATACAGCCCTCCCCTTGGTCCAGGGGTCTGCCTCCGAGGCCAGTCCTGAACCCCAGCCAGAAGAAGTGGACCTGATGGCATCCTTGCCCCTGCAAGATGCAGCCTTCCCCACAGTCCTGGGATCTGCCTCTGAGGCCAGTCCTGAACCCCTGCCAGAAGAAGTGGACATGACAGCATCCCTGCCCCTGAAGGATGCAGCCTTCCCTTCGGCCCAGGAATCTGCCCCCAAGGCCAGTCCTGAACCCCAGACAGTAGACGTGGACATGACAGCATCCCTGCCCCCGAATGATACAGCCCTCCCCTTGGTCCAGGGGTCTGCCTCCGAGGCCAGTCCTGAGCCCCAGCCAGAAGAAGTGGACCTGATGGCATCCTTGCCCCTGCAAGATTCAGCCTTCCCCTCAGTCCTGGGATCTGCCTCTGAGGCCAGTCCTGAGCCCCAGCCAGAAGAAGTGGACATGACAGCATCCCTGCCCCCGAAGGATGCAGCCCTCCCCTTGGTCCAGGGATCTGCCTCCGAGGCCAGTCCTGAACCCCAGCCAGAAGAAGTGGACCTGATGGTATCCTTGCCCCTGCAGGATGCAGCCTTCCCCTCAGTCCTGGGATCTGCTTCTGAGGCCAGTCCTGAACCCCAGCCAGAAGAAATGGACATGACAGCATCCCTGCCCCTGAAGGTTGCAGCCTTCCCTTCAGCCCAGGAATCTGCCTCAGAGGCCAGTCCTGAACCCCAGGCAGTAGAAGTGGACATGACAGCATCCCTGCTCCTGAAGGATGCAGCTCTCCCCTTGGTGCAGGGATCTGCCTCTGAGGCCAGTCCTGAACGCCAGCCAGAAGAAATGGACCTGATGGCATCCCCACCCTTGAAGGATGCAGCCTTTCCTTCAGGCCAGGAATTTGCTGTCAAGGCTAGTCCTGAACCCCAGCCAGAAGAAATGGACATGACAACATCCCTAGGCCTGAAGGATGCAGCCCTCCCCTTGGTCCAGGGATCTGCCTCCGAGGCCAGTCCTGAACCCCAGCCAGAAGAAATGGACATGATGGCATCCCTGCCCCTGCAGGATGCAGCCTTCCTCTCAGTCCTGGGATCTGCTCTGAGGCCAGTCCTGAACCCCAGCCAGAAGAAATGGACATGACAGCATCCCTGCCCCTGAAGGTTGCAGCCTTCCCTTCAGCCCAGGAATCTGCCTCCGAGGCCAGTCCTGAACCCCAGACAGTAGACGTGGACATGACAGCATCCCTGCCCTCGAAGGATGCAGCCCTCCCCTTGGTCCAGGGGTCTGCCTCCGAGGCCAGTCCTGAACCCCAGCCAGAAGAAGTGGACCTGATGGCATCCCTGCCCCTGAAGGATGCAGCCCTCCCTTCGGCCCAGGAATCTGCTTCTGAGGCCAGTCCTGAACCCCAGCCAGAAGAAGTGGACATGAGAGCATCCCTGCCCCTGAAGGATGCAGCCCTCCCTTCAGCCCAGGAATCTGCCTCCGAGGCCAGTCCTGAACCCCAGGCAGTAGAAGTGGACATGACAGCATCCCTGCCCCTGAAGGTTGCAGCCCTCCCTTCAGCCCAGGAATCTGCCTCCGAGGCCAGTCCTGAACCCCAGGCAGTGGAAGTGGACATGACAGCATCCCTGCCCCCGAAGGATGCAGCCCTCCCCTTGGTCCAGGGATCTGCCTCTGAGGCCAGTCCTGAACCCCAGCCACAAGAAATGGAATTGACGGCATGCCTGCCCCTGAAGGATGCTGCCCTCCCCTTGGTCCAGCGATCTGCCTCTGAGGCCAGTCCTGAACCCCAGCCAGAAGAAATAGACCTGATGGCATCCCCACCCTTGAAGGATGCAGCCCTCCCTTCAGCCCAGGAATCTGCCTCCGAGGCCAGTCCTGAACCCCAGGCAGTAGAAGTGGACCTGACAGCATCGCTGCCCCCGAAGGATGCAGCCCTCCCCTTGGTCCAAGGATCTGCCTCTGAGGCCAGTCCTGAACCCCAGCCAGAAGTAATGGACATGACGGCATCCCCACACTTGAAGGATGCAGCCTTCCCTTCAGGCCAGGAATCTGCCTCCGAGGCCAGTCCTGAACCCCAGGCAGTAGAAGTGGACATGATAGCATCCCTGCCCCTGAAGGATGCATCCCTCCCCTTGATCCAGGGATCTGCCCCCGAGGCCAGTCCTGAACCCCAGCCAGAAGAAGTGGACCTGACAGCATCTCTGCCCCCGAGGGATGC